AACCGGGCACGCGCGAGGGGTCCTGGTAGAGGGTTCTGGGCTCGAGGCTGCAAGCCCACTCACCCCGGTCCTGGAGACCAGGGAAGCGTCTGTGCTGGCTTTTGTGTGGAGCTAAGGGAGAAGCTAGGCTGCCCTTTCTCCCGCCTTTCCCTCCCTCTCCCTTACTCCCGCAGCAGCTCCATGCGTGTCAGCGGGCAGCACGGGCGCCTGCAGGAAGTCAGGCGAGGGTGAACCGAAGTGCTGGGGGTTTCTAGGAGGGAGATCGGGCTCCGGGGTTCCAGTTCCTTCCTAATCCATCTTCTTGAACGAGTGATGTGAACATCCCACAGGGCCTCCTCTGGTGAGGACACCGTGACTTGAAAGGGACCTGAAGCTCCCTGTGGAGGGGAAGGGAGAACAAGGAGGCAGTGACATGCCGCCACTGTGGTCTTCCCTTCCGTCTTTCCTGGTGGTTGGCAGCCCCGCTGTACTCCTCAGGGCGGCCTTTACCTCTTAGCACCTTCATGTCTCACCTGGCTGCGTGGCGTTTGCACCTGAGCACGCGGGTGGAACTCGGTCTGTGTCTGTGCAGATTATGCCGACAAGCCCCTGGAGAAGCCCCTGAAGCTAGTCCTCAAAGTCGGAGGAAGCGAAGTGACTGAACTCTCAGGATCCGGCCACGACTCCAGTTACTATGACGACAGGTCAGACCATGAGCGAGAGAGGCACAAAGAAAAGAAAAAGAAGAAGAAGAAGAAATCCGAGAAGGAGAAGCATCTGGACGATGAGGAAAGGAGGAAGCGAAAGGTAAAGGAGCAGCGGCAGCGGCGTTGGCCCGGACGCCCCCCACGAGGACCCCATGGGGAGCCGGGTCGCAGGACCCAGGCAGAGTGCGCCTGCGTGGCTGGAGGACGGGAGGGGTGTTCCGTTGGTAGCAAAACGCAAACCGCTGAGGCCAGCAGACTCAGTTCCAGGATCCTGGGTGTGCTGTTCCTCAGCGGACCCTGCGAGGGTCTCCGTGAGGAGGGAGCCCGGCTTGAGGAGGGTCTCGGAGGGGGTTTCCCTTAGCTCTGTCCCTCCCCTGAGAACTGCGAGGGGATTGGGCAGACGTGTCTGGATCCCACCTACTCGTGCCCTTCTCACTGCCTTGACTCTGCGGCCCAGGAAGAGAAGAAGCGGAAGCGAGAGAGGGAGCACTGTGACACGGAGGGAGAGGCTGACGACTTTGATCCTGGGAAGAAGGTGGAGGTGGAGCCGCCCCCAGATCGGCCAGTCCGAGCGTGCCGGACACAGCCAGGCAAGGGTGGACTTTTAGAGACTCTCCTGGTATTCACAGCTCGTCGTTGTAAATGAGGGTCGGCACCGTGTCCTCTTGCTTTGGGGAGAAGCATGGGAGGGAGGAGAGCTGGTATTTCCAGGGCCTCATCCCGGGTGTCCTCTGGATCTGAGGTTTCCTCCAGTGTCTCTGAATGTCTAGAGCAAGGCTTGGCCAGTTACCACTGGTGCCGTTAAGTTTTGTTTTGTAACTTATTGTTACCTAAGGATGGTTTATATGTTTTTCAAGGGTTCGTTAAAAAAAAAAGGCGTATCTGCAGAGAGCAATCATATGTGACCCACAAAGCCTGGACTATTTTTCGTCTGGCCCTTATGTAAAAAGTTCGCCAGCCCTGGGTCTGTAAGTTTGGTTTTGTCTGCACTTAGCACCCAAAGAGAACAGCATCAGAAGAGTAGCCCCACATGGGTCAGACTGGTGAGAGAGATGCATGTCAGTGAAAACGCAGGTAATTCCTCTTGGGAAGAGGGGACCTGAAACCCCAAATGATGGGTCTGAAGTTGCTGAAAGTGACCATAGGCTGAGACAAAGGAAGTTGAAGGCCTTCAGTAGAATTTCTGTCTTGGGCACCGTCTGCCTAGGATGGCTTTGGGCTGGAATTTCCAGCTGACAAGGACTTGCCCTCTGGGTTCTCCTTGTCCCCAGCCTTCCTGTGCACAACTCACAGTGATGAGGCATTTGTACTTAAGACAAGGGGTGTCTCTTCCCGGCACCTCTCAGCATCTAGTGGTTCCTGGATTATAGGGAAACTTAGACAGCTGGGCTTTGGGACATGGGACATCAGGGAGTGAGGAGGCTAGTGCTGCAATCATTCAGGCCATCAGAAACCTTCTGAGCCCTGCTGACTCCACTGAAGGAAAGTTCTGGAAAGCTAGTGGTCTTCTGAGCTTCTGTGGTCATTTGGCTCTTCAGGCACTTTCTTTTTTTAATTTATTTTTGAAACATGGTCTTGCTGTGTCCCCTAGGCTGGAGTGCAGTGTCGTGATTCACTCCTGGGCTCAGATAACCCTGGGCTCAAGCGATCCTCCCACCTCAGCCTCTTGGGACTACAGGCATGCACCACCACACCAGCCATTTATTTATTTACTTTTTGTTGAATTTTAAGGGACCTCAAGTGAAATAATAATCGGTGAATATAGGATCAACCCTTATGTCCAGAGCCTTTGTTCCGTCCTTCATTCCTTGTCTAGAGTAGTGGTATGAGCCGAAAACATTGATAAGTGATCACCGCACATTGTTGATGTCAGGGCTACCGGTTATTATAAGGGGTTTTTATGACTCCTGCTGCGGGGAGGGGGGTGCCCTTTCCCACCCAGCTGAGCTCTGTGGGAGCCAAGGCTGAGTTGGGTGTAGCTTTATATCCCTAGTTCTTGCTGGAGCTTAAAATGCTGTGAGACACCATACAGACAGATACTGTGAACTTGGAGCTCTCTAATGAAGGGATGCCAAAGTCTTTGTATTCAATTTTTTTTTTTCCTTAAATTGTCAGCCGAAAATGAGAGCACACCTATTCAGCAACTCCTGGAACACTTCCTCCGCCAGCTCCAGAGGTAAACCTGGGCGTTTCTGAAGAGCATGTGTCTGGGGGTGTGTGGTGTCATCTTTTCTGAGGCCTTGTTCCCCACCCCAGCCCTGTCAGCTGTGAAACAGACCCTGCACCTTCTCTTGGTGACTCCCACTCGACTTCAGGGTGGGCAGGAGGAGCTCATGGACTCGGTAGTGGCTCACTCTGAAGTCAGAATAGGGTGAGGGAAGTCAAGGCTAGAGCTGGGACACTGAGCCACCAGGATGCTTTGGGGGAAATTTTTATTATGTGTGAAATACCTATCACCATAAATTAAAAGACCCTGGTAATTTTTTTATTTTTAAGAAACAAAATTCGGTCACTTGTATCCAATTTCTGGATTGTAGAAGATTTTGTATCATTTAGAAATCTAGATTTTTCCACTTTAAGATATCTTTGCTTTCAGAAAGGATCCCCATGGATTTTTTGCTTTTCCTGTCACGGATGCAATTGCTCCCGGATATTCAATGATAATAAAACATCCCATGGATTTTGGCACCATGAAAGACAAAATTGTAGCTAATGAATACAAATCAGTTACGGAATTTAAGGTAAGTTACTTTCATTGCCCGAAGTAATTGTGGCATAGTTCTGTGTATTTATGTCTCGTGAAGACTTCATTCAACTTAGGTCATTTCTAGTTTTTGAGCTTTCACAGGTGTTTCTGTGTTTGGGTGTTATTTACAGACACAGCATTAAGGAAATGATTGGTCATAAACATTTTCTTTGTGCTTTGGTCTAGAAACTAGGCCAGGTTGCATGCTGTTTCTTTTCTATGTTAGTGCACTGGCATAAATAGGACATGTTTTAAGCAATGAGATGTCCGGTGTGGCACGGTTTGAGACTAGACATTTTTTAAAACATGCTTATTTTTAATTCTTGATTTTGTCTTATACTAATTGAGCAGGTAGTCTTTTTAGCATAGTAAGTTTTTTTGTCTCTTGAGTACTTTGCTCTTAACTCTGTTTCTTGCTACTGGCTATGAGAATCAGCAACTGCGCATTGTTTTTGCAACCCAGGGGAAGAAAGTAAAATAGATGCTTGATAAATTGGCATTAGTGTAGTTTAGAAAGGCATTAGGTTTCTCTCTTAAGTTCCATTCCGCTTGGGAAAGCTTGACTTTTCTATTTTCATTTATTTTACGTTTACTGAAGGGTTTGCTGACTCCCAGAAACACAACAGAACAGACTTAAAGGAGAGTGGGAGAAAAGGAAACTTGATGAGAGGATCAGGCCGCGCCTGAGGGCAGATGTTCAGAGCACTCCATACGCTGAAGCCCTCGGTATTCCCTGCTCTGGGCCCCAGTCTGGCCATTCCTAGCAACAAAGTGAGAAGGGGAGCAGCACTCACCCCGTGGAGTGTCCACAGTAGAGTCTTGCGGTGGGCTCCATGGCCTCAGGCCAGGCCCTGGGGCCGCTGGCTCCAGAACCGGGGCTTGGGGGGGTCCAGATGGCACATTCTCAGTTAGGGAGGCCGGCCTCTAGGGCCATGCTCCAGCCTGACGTTGGTACTCACCTGTGAGAGGCCTGTGCTGAGGAAACTGATTACGATAATAAAATACTGATGTTTCCATATTTTTACCATAAATTACGAAATAAGGCTCTCCTTTTGAGGGGCAAAGTCTTTTTCTGATAGTTTGAGGGAACTATTTGGTGACAGAATTTTAAATTCTATTCTGTGGAGAAATTCTAGAGAGAGAGGATATCACTGTGCCCCGTGCTTGCCTTTATCCCTCGACTTTGACTTGAAAGAATCAGATTGTTGCTTCTTGTTCCTATTTCTGTTCTGGAGAAATGCAGGAAGCGCAGTAAATGCTCCTTTTTCCTCGCACGGCGTTTGTATGTGATGCTTAGAAGTTACAGGCTTGGCCAACTCTTCATTGTAACATTTTTCTTGCAAGACCGACGTGCAACTAAGAAAATTTCTCTAAGTTCTTAAACATTATTTTAGAACAGAGAGCCCAGTTGAATTGTTTCCTACTCAATTGTAGCTTTTTCCTTTTGGTCTCTTGACAGTCATCTAGGGCTTTGCTGTTGTCTGTGGCATTTCAAACTTGGTAAGTCTTTCCTGTGTTCTTTTCAGGCAGATTTCAAACTGATGTGTGATAATGCAATGACATACAATAGGCCAGATACCGTGTACTACAAGTTGGCGAAGAAGATACTTCACGCAGGCTTTAAGATGATGAGCAAAGTAAGAAACTCAGTGGCAGCAGCGAGCTACGGAAAGCAGGGGCTCTGCCCCCCGTCGCTTGTGCCCGAGGGGAGCCTCACAGTGAACACATGCTCCATCCACCCGCCACCCTCATGGTGTTGCCCCCTTTGCTTTAGGGTAGATGTCCCCGGCCGCCCTCTCTGCTCATGACCTAGTTGTGACGTCTCATTTAGGGTTGGTGGAAAGTTCCGCATCTCTTGTTCTTAAGCCTGGGTGTCAGTCTTGCTGGATGGCAGCCAGCATTGCGGGCTTGTTTTGCGTGGCTACCTCACTGAATCCAGATGGGACATCCTTGTCTTCCTTGGCCATCCTGAGTGGCTTCCCAGATCTGTGCCGTGAGCCAGGCTGCATGCGTCCCACGTAGGTGAAGGTAAAGGGGAGGCGCGGTGCCTGCCGCACTCTGGCAGTGGGTCCAGCCCCCGCAACCACCTCCCTCTGCTCCGCGTCGAAAGTTAGCTCTTAGGCCAGGTGAGGCTGTGACCATCCCCATCCCATCCCATCGTCACGGCGCCCTGGCTGTGAGGGAGAGGTAAATCCCTGCTGCTCTGTCCTTTCTGATTCTAGGAGCGGCTGTTAGCTTTGAAGCGCAGCATGTCGTTTATGCAGGACATGGATTTTTCTCAGCAGGCAGCTCTTCTGGGCAATGAGGATACAGCTGTTGAGGAACCTGTCCCTGAAGTTGTACCCGTACAAGTAGAAACTGCCAAGAAATCCAAAAAGCCGAGTAGAGAAGTGATCAGGTAAAGGCTGTGTGGAAACCGCGTTTGCTTTTGGAGTTGAGCACCACAACCAGGAAAGCAGGTGCTTTGTTGGGGAGAGAGAGTGAGTGGGAGAACGGATGTCATGTCACTTAGACATCCTTGGAGGGGCTTATTCTAGCAGGAGGAGTGTGGTCAGATGGCCCCTCCTGCCCACCAGCCACATGCACTCTGACCCAGGTGTGGTACCCTAGCCCATCCTCTCACCACTGCCCCTGTCTGCTACTGACTGGTGGTCTCTGTCTCCACATGCCGTTTGTTAAGATCATCGGCCCCTCCCTCTCCTGCACACCACCGGCTGGCAGCCAAGGCTGTGCCCTTGTCCCAGACTGTGCCGCACAAGCAGGCCCACTTTGGGCAGCCAGCATTGGCAGGGGGCTTCTTTCTTGCCATGGGGCAGACGCCCACCCCAGAACCGCTCACTTCCGTGTCTGTGTGGATGCTGGAGTGGAGCAGGTGCAGCCCGGTGGTCAGGAAGGTGTGGATGCTGCAGGGGAAGCAGGTGAGGACTGCAGGCCGCAGCTCCCTGTAGCTCTGCTCCCTCCCACAGGGAGCAGCTGACTTGGATGGTCCATCAGGGAACCTTCTTCCTTTTTCTCTAAACCCCACAGTGGTTTTCATGGGGCCTCTCTGTCTCACAGTGGCTGAGCATTGAGATCTGTCAAAGTCTGTCGCATGTCATTCCTGTAGATGCTCCTCCACCTGCCTGAGGTGGCCGCCTGATAGGACCAAAGCAAGCTAGAGTATCTCCAGGGGCCTTAGAGGCTCCGAGAGCACTTACCATAGCCTGCAGTGGGCAGAGGCGCCTGGCACAGAGCCTGCTTCGTCACATGTCACTTGCTGAATGCAGGCCTCAGGGAGTGCGGTCTCGGGACACCGCCCTCGTGGCCGTGTGTCTGACAGTGCTGTGGCTCGCTGACTTCCCAGTGTCCTGAGAGGACGGTGGCCTGTTGCCAGCCTGGGACAGATCAGGTTTGAAGGATGGTTTCTACTGAAGCGTACTGCTTTTGTGCCGTCTTGTGGAAAGTCAGGGACCGTCTGGAGTTGGTGCTGAATGTCCTTAAAGCCATTCTGATGGTCATGGCCCTCCGTTGTTTGTTTCCTTCTGACAGTGTATGTGGGACTCGCGTGGATTTAACAGGTAGGGCAGCAGCAGTGCTGGGCTCGGTGCTTCTGCTCTGAGCAGCTCCCTCCAACAGTCAAAAGGGAGAGCCGTCTTGAGACCAGCCCCTCAGGTCCTGCAGCCTTGGCTGAGGAGACGGAGGGTGCTCTGCGGCCAGAGCGTGTTGCCTGGCAACAGCCAGCAGTCTCCTCAGGTGGTCTCCCCACGTGCAGTGTGTTTCCCACCCTGCTGCCATGCGAACACTCGCCGCGTGGTTGGCTGGTGGCTGTGTCGGACCTCAGCCCCCAACTCGAGTGCGCTGCTGGCCTTCAGGGTTAGGGATTCATGGCCGCCCTTTGCCGCCTCATGGTGGCTGAGCATTGAGGGGGAATTGAAGCTGGTGTCGGCCAGCATGCTCGGCCGTGGGGGGTCGTATCCTGGCGGACCCGCCGCAGGTTGAGTTTGGGTATTTCTGGTGCTGTGGCCCCACCCTTGCCTGTGGCATCCAGGCCCGTTAGATGGATCCCCAGCTGTCAGTCTGCAGTCGGCAGAGCGTGCCGAGCTCCGGCCCTTACCTTCACCTGGTGTCGCAGAGTGTGCATCGGCGATGGGCTCACGCAGCTGCCTGAGTGGAGCTCATGGGGCTCTCTCTCCTGTGTCGGGTTGCCAGGTTGGCGCTGTAGGTCAGGCAAGGCCAGGGCCGCTGTCATGGGCAGGGCTTGCCCTCGGTCTGCACCTGTCCCTAGGCCATTCAGACCCACACCCAGGCAAGTGCCCAGGGTGGAAAGGAGCCTACTCGCTTGCTTCTAGAACCTTCCACACTCCTTGGGTGCTGCAGCCTGCGCCCCTCAGCTGTTTGAGAACTGCTTCAGGTGGAACCTGGGGCCACTTGCTGACGTCCTTGTGTGTTCTTCTTGCCACCTAGCGGCCACAGCAGAGGGGGCTGCTGTCCACCCAGCCCCGCAGCATCAGACCTCAGGCGAGCGGCCCCGCCCATCCTGCAGGCCTTGCTGTGAGCCCTGCGTAGTCACGTAGTCACGAGTGCTTTTCCAGTCGCTTTTCTGATGAGGGCTTTAAGGACTAACCAGTGCGTGCATCTGTTATTTTGTTGCTTTTGTTGTTAAAGTGACTGCACTTTAACTGAGTTTTCACCGCGTTGGAAAACAGGGAGTCTGTGTAGTTGGCTTACACTTACTCTGTATTTTAATACAAGTGTCTTATTTTGTTGCTTGGTTAGGGTGAAAGGGATGCTTTGAGACCTGAAAGGAGATAGGTACGCTCTGCCAGCTCTGTGTCTGAGGGCAGGGTCACAGAGGCTGGGTTAGGTGCCAGTGCGTGGGGCACAGGTGCGCAGTGGGGACGCTGCCTCCAGGTGACTTGGTTGTCCCCACCTCACAGCTGCATGTTTGAGCCTGAAGGGAATGCCTGCAGCTTGACGGACAGTACCGCAGAGGAGCACGTGCTGGCGCTGGTGGAGCACGCGGCTGACGAGGCTCGGGACAGGATCAACCGGTTCCTCCCAGGCGGCAAGGTAGTGCTCTCTGGCCACCGAGAGAGGGTGCTGCGTGGCCCCCGACTCTCCGTGTGCCTCTCCCTCTGGGTTGGTGCTGTGTGATCCAGCACAGCCACCGGGATCCAGAGGTCAGCGTGGGGCCCCGACGGGAGGCCTGGGTCAGACACACACAAGGCTGGTCTCTTCAGTCGGGGTCCGGGTGCCTCTGGCAGGGCCGCCACTGGTGTTTCATGCATCATGGAGGCCTCGTGGTCACTGACCTCATTTCCTTGATGGAGGCCCTGCTGCAGGCTCATCCTTTCTCTTGGAGTGAATGCTGACTTCTGTGTCTCTGTCACTGGGTGTTGACGTGAGTCACTGCCTCATGTTATTCCAGCGGGGACTGGTGTTGGATCCACAGATGGTCCATGATAGGCCACCGACCCTGTTCCCGTGGCTCCTGCCACAGATGGTCTGTGTGGTGGTGGAGCCCACTCAGCTGACTGCACTCTCCTTTCTGGCAGGAGACGTTCTAGACCCAGTGTCTCCAATGGAAACAGCACAGGCTGTCTGCAGTCTCAGGCTTCCTACTAGCCCTGATAAGAGAAGTAGAACAGTGCAGGTGACATTAATCCCGGCAGGTTTTATTTCACCTCTATATCCAACGTTTTGTTTCAACATGTAGTCCGTAGAAAACGTTAACTTGAACTATGGTTTTTTTTCATAGTGAGTCTTCAAAATGCACATAGGATGGGATGTAAAGAATGCTGAAGTGGGGGCATTTCAGAGGCGTCTGCTTCTGTTTGCCTGCACCTGGTGGGAAGTTGCAGTGGTCTGTGTGGCTCGTTTGCTGGGAGGTTGTGGTCTGCGTGGCTCGCGTGTTGGGAGGTTGCGGTCTGCGTGGCTCGTGTGTCAGGAGGTTGTGGTACGCGTGGCTCGTGTGTCGGGAGGTTGCAGTCTGCGTGGCTTGTGTGTTGGGAGGTTGTGGTTTATGTGGCACACGTGTTGAAAAGTTGCTGTGGTCTGCGTGGCTTGTGTTGGGAAGTTATGGTTTGTGTGGCTCATGTTGGGAAATTGTTTGCATGGCTTGCCTGTTGGAGATTGTGGTCTGCGTGGCTTGCACTGTAGTTCTTTTGGACAGCCTTGTTCTGCACTCTGTGCTTCAGCCCTGGAATTGCCACATTCTCCAAGGAGCCCTGGTTTCTTTACTAGAGAGCCTTGTTTAGAAGCCAAGACCTGGGTGCTGGGTGAAGCCCTCTCTGCAGATAGAGCTGGGAAATGCCTGTGCACGTGTCTGCACCACATATGTGAACACTGTGCAGACGGATTCTGTTGGCACCTGTGTTTACATGTGTTGAAAACTTTTTACAGTGAAACTTCCAGTTCCATCCTGCACTGTGGGTCCACCCCACTTCTCCCTTTCGGTTTTGTATCTGCACCCTGAGGACCTGACTCCCTAATCTGTGTATCAAATCCATGTCCCATTGTACCTGATCTTCCACCTCTCCCCCAGGGCCCTGGCCACCCTGTGGGCTCTGATACTTTGCCTGGATCGGCAGTGGAAAGCTGCCCCCACACAAATATCTGGCTCCTTTCAGGCCAGGTGGCTGCCCTGCCCACAGCATGGACATGACCCTTGCACTGGAGCCCAGCCAACCCCTGCGTGACAGCTGTCTTCCCCCTTGACCCCCACATCTGCACACACCAGTGCCGCCTCTGCCTGGATCCTCCTGATGGCCTGTACACAGACCTAGGGTTGGGGGTGGCGGGTTTTTAAATGAAAACCAGTACCGCACATGCTTGAGAGCCGGAGCTGCCTGCCGTCAGGGCAGTGCCATGCTGACCTGCCGACCATTCCATTTGTCAAGGCTCCTGAGCAATTTTAAATGCTTGTGGGTGAAGGTTTTTGTTTCAGCTGTTCCCCCTTTAGCAGGGCCATGGGGAGCCTAAGAGTTCTCCTCGTGCCTGTGTGTACTCTGCTGTTGCCGGTGAGTCAAATTCCAGGGAATACCGTGTGGGGCCCTCTGGTGTTTGTTCTTGGACACACTTGGTTTTACCCCCATTAAGCCCTGCTTGCTGGCCTTCGTTTCATTTGAGCTGCGCTGCCCCTCCTGAGGGACAGATGCTCAGGCAGTGCTTCCTTCCAGATGGGCTATCTGAAGAGGAACGGGGACGGGAGCCTGCTCTACAGCGTGGTCAACACGGCCGAGCCGGACGCTGATGGTGGGTGCCCGCTCGGGGCTGGCTTTCTGCTGTCTGTACACTGTTTTTCGGGCCTCCATTCATGTTCTGTGATGAAAAGCCGAGCCATTGGCCAGGGGGCAGCATGAGAAGCTGCCCGGCTTCCCGTCCCTGCGCACACCCCGATGTGACACGTTCTCCGAGTAGAGGCGTGGACGGCCGTCTCGCAGGGCTGGGGTGCTGGTCAGACCTCGGTCAGGGCTCCTTGGGAGCAGGGGCACTCGAGCCTCATTCCTGAAAAGCTGGCGAGAGGCCTTTAAGGCCGAACCTCACTAGCATCAGGAAGGGTTCACACCCCGAGCTTTGTCTTCATTAAAGACCAGAGTGCCGGCCCACCTTGCGGCTTGAATCTGGAAAGCAGTGTTAGGAAAAAAAGAGCTGTTAGATGATTATGTCCAGGACAGTGTTGAAGGATGGCGCGCACTAGGCCTGTCCAGCCCATCAGGGGCGCTTTCTTGGCCTGGAAGTAATGAAGAGGCTTGTCCTTTGAATAAAAGTGTGACGCACTTGAGTTTGAAACCACGCACAGGCTCACACGAGGAACACGCAGCCCGACAAGGGTTGCCTTTAGATTTTCCGCTTCCCTCACTCTCACCCGCATGCCTGCTGGTGGTCTTTCACCCGCTCCAACATGCCAGTGTGTGAAGAATATAAACTGGCTGATCTATTTAATCTCCAGCTTATTTTCATAAAGAGGATAGACTGTTGATCCATATTTAGCTTAAGAGAGTGTTGAGACCGAGGTACCGGTTGGGAACTGAGGAACTCCTGCTCTGATGCCACGAGTGGTGTGTGGATGGTGACTTGAGCGTGGCAGACGTGCTGTCAGATTCATGCGTTCCGGTTGCACACGCCACCATTTCGCTGTTAGAGCACATAGGACAAGATTTCTTCTTGGAGTTGTTGAGTGATCTATTTGAAAATGTTCTCAAAGTATTGCTGGTGTGGTGGCCTAAGATGCGATATTTTTTATTGTGTTGACTTTGGGGTGATAAATGAAATTGAAATGCAGTTAGTTTTGAGAATGGTAGTTGGCTTTTGCAAATTCATTTTCAGGTGATCATTCTAAAATCCCTCCACTCCCACCAATCAAATCCACTGTGATGTGGAAGAAAGGGCTCGTGGCACTGCACGGGGCACCGCGTTGGGGTCACGCCTGCCGCTCACGGCCCGCCATGTCCGTGTTGCAGAGGAGGAGACCCACCCGGTGGACTTGAGCTCGCTCTCCAGTAAGCTGCTCCCAGGCTTCACCACGCTGGGCTTCAAAGATGAGAGAAGAAACAAAGGTAAATCCATAGTCCTGTCCCAGGCGCCGGCTGGAGCAGGGGTTTAGGGGAGTGATGGCAAATACTGCTGATTCCTGCTTCAGGGTTTCCTCACTTGCCTGGATTCCTATTTTCACATGGGTAGGATTGAGATCAGTTACAGTGACAGGAACAAAACTTGTGTTGGATGGTTTGCTGGGGACACACACAGCGGGCACCTTGGTTGCATCACTGGAATTCACCTTGGTCAGTGCTGTGCCGTCCTTGTGTTTCTGTCCCTGTCACGTTTACTGAACATCCTTTCGGGGATCAGAATGTGTGGCCCCTGGGCCTCGGGTCTGGCCTGTGTTCTGTTCTCCATCTGCACGGCTGTCTCCTGGCTGCACTGCTGCTGGGACCTCCCGTACGGCCCCACCCTCCACTTCTCTGCCTCTGCTGGGTCCCTTCTGTGCAGACAGCCGCGTGGACCCTGTTCCTGCCGGCCCTTTCTCCTGCAGCCACTCACACCGTCTGCTAATGGGACAGCTCCCTCTTCCCTCCAAACCATGGCCTTGGCCCAAGAGCTTCCTTTTTTCTGGAATGTTCTTTCCTCCAGCTCCAGGTGCTGGAATTCTGCCTGGTCTGGGTCTCCTGTTAAAGGACCCGGTCCCTCCACAGGGAAGGATCCTCTCACCTTGACCACTTGTGTTCATCAGCCCCTGCTCCCTGCTTCCTTTCGGGGCTCTTATGGTTGTTGATACTTTTTTTGTTGTGTTTGACACACTCCTCGTTCTCATCCTCTAACACAGTTGTCAACCGCAGCACTTCTGTCCCTGGGGACGTTTGGCAGCATCCGGAGACGTGTTGATGGTCCTGGTGGGGTGGGGCGTGCTGCTGGCATCTGGTGGGGAGACGCCAGGGGTGCTGCTTCACGCCCTATGGGACTCTGCACAGCACACCTGGCGCGTGTGCCCCGCAGAGAGAGCTGGCCCTGGGCGGGCGTGCTCCCTGCGGTGTGTGTTGGTTGGGATCCTCCACACTGACGGACGGTGCCCTCCGCCCACGTCTCCACGCAGCTCTTTTACTTGTGGAGCTCACCTCTTTGCAGAGAGCTCATTTCCCTGCGGTCTTTGGCCTGCAGAAGTAAAACGAGGGTGAATTACACCCCTGCTGGTTACTAACACATGGAAAACTTACACTCAGGAGCGAGAATTTTGTGGAGAGCAAGTGAGGCGAGACTGGGGTGCTGACTGCCAGCCAGGCGGTCCCTCAGCCCCTGCAGAAGCAGGATGGGGCCTGCACACCGAGTCCTTCCAGTGAGCCCAGTGATGCTGTCTTTCTCCTCTTCCTCCCAGTCACCTTTCTCTCCAGTGCCACTACTGCGCTTTCGATGCAGAATAATTCAGTATTTGGTGACTTGAAGTCGGACGAGATGGAGCTGCTGTATTCAGCCTACGGAGATGAGACAGGCGTGCAGTGTGCGCTGAGGCAAGTGTCGGCCCCGGGGAGCCCTTGGCTGCCGTGCGGCTTGAGCTGCATCCTGGTGTGGGACCCAGAGCCCCACATGTGTGCGGGTGGGGGAAGAGCCATCCCGCGGCCGTCCAGATGGCAGCTCAGGTCTTCCTGTTGCTTTCCGTCACCCACCCAGGTCTGCCACAGGCCAGTCCTGAAATTTGGGTAACTCAGAATTGCAAGAAGGCGGTGATCAGGACGTAGCTTGTGAAGGGGTTGGGGGTGTATTCAGCGCACTGAATGGTTTTGGATTGTGTTTCTTAAGTGACTGTGCCAGCTCAGGCTGTAGTGACAAGGTGCCAAAGACTGGGGTCACAGTCCTGGGGGCTGCTGTCTACCATGAAGGTGTGGGCAGGGCTGGTTCCTCCCGAGCCCTCTCTCCTGGGCCTATAGGTGCTGTCTTCTCCCTGTGCCTTCCCAGAGCCGTGCTGTGTCCTCAGCTGTCCGGGAGACCCGACCGTTGTGCAAGGACCCTGGTCGCATTGGATCAGGGCCACCCTAATGGCCTCATGTCACTGCAGTTACCTCTGAAGGCCATAAAGGCCTCAAGTATAGTCACATTTGGAGGCACTGGGGTCAGGATTTCAACTTGCAAACTTTGAGTGGGAGACATAGTTCAGGCCGTGGCAGACTAAAGTATAATAACAAAAATCACAAATGTAGTAGCTGCTTTTCCACAGAATGTTATCATGTGTATTTTTTGTTTTCTGTGGCAAAATAAATGTGGGTCACTCTTGTAAAATTTTAGCAGTTTGTTATAGGGAAAGCAACTTAATTTTGCTAGCCTCTAAGAAATGGAATCTTGACATCAGGTCTTCATTTTATTCCAACAAGAATGCAGAATACATTTGAAAAATAAATAATCCAGTTAGCGCTTCATAAAATAAGTGAAAACCTGACCCCGATATTTGTGTCAAAAAAGGAAGTAAACGTGGAAAATGAAGAGGAAATTCTAGTAGGAGACGATGGCGTCATAACTCAGAAATTAAAGAGTTGGTCGCCGCCTGCCCTTTCGCCAGCCCTCACCTCACCCCTGCTGTGGGGCCTCTGCCTAGCCTGGGCCAAGGCTGCAGCTCCCCTGGTGCCATCCTGTCCGTAGTTGGCTCCTCTGTCCACAGATCCTGGCTCTTTCAGGACATCAGTCATCTGTTGTCCATGTGGTGCGTCATCAGCGGACTGTGTGCACCCCCCATCTTCCCCGGCTGTGTGCTCCCCCTGCCTTCCCCGGCTGTGTGCTCCCCCTGCCTTCCCCGGCTGTGTGCTCCCCCTGCCTTCCCCGGCTGTGTGCTCCCCCTGCCTTCCCCGGTTGTGCACATCCCCCGCCTTCCCCAGCTGTGTGCTCCTAGAACGCGTCAGGTTCCATGTTCTGTGAAGAAAGATCATTCTGACCCCCCTGCCTTGCGGCTGCAGGGAAAACACTCAGAAGCACATCTTCTAGGGCCTGGTGTGGGCTGTGTGGTCCCTCGCCAGCCTCGGTGCACAGACACCCAGATCCTCTGCCCCCTAGCGCTTTTCCCGAGCACACTGCGAGTGCTGAGCTTGGCCTGGCCTGGGCTGTGGGTGTTTTAACAAAGACGTGGAGTCTCCTTGTTGCCTCCTGTGACTGTCGTTCAGCTTCTGACTGGCAGCCGTCCCTGTTCCTCTCTGCGAGGGTCTTTGGAGTCTGGGGAGCCCTTCTGAGGCCCTTGCTTGTTGCTTTGATTCTAAGACTACGCATTTTTGTTCCTGGCCTACTTTTTAAATTGTGTTATATTTTACTTTTTAAGCTGTTTCATTTATATGGCCAAGAGTCAGGATGATGCTAAAAGGAGAGCCTTGGAAGTCTCGGCCCACCCCTGCCCCACGCGCCCCTTCCTCCCCGGCAGACGCTGCCCGCCACCGTGCTTCCGTCCACACCCACTTGTGTATTTAAACGCATAACTAGTGGAAAGATAGGAGTGTGCTTTTACGAATGATAGCACAGCACGCGTGTTTCTAGGCTGTGTGTGTGTGTATTCATGCTGTTCTCCCCCTCCCCCCCAGAGATCTTTTTAACCTTTTTGGGTCATGGACCACTTTGAAAATCTAATGAGAACTATCAGCCACTCCCCCAAAAATACCCACTCTGGGAGGGTCACAAGGGACTGAGGAGCTGCGCTGACACGGCAGGCTTCTGTGATCAGGGCCGCCGCGAGGGCCAGGCAGCAAGGGCTTGGCGTGGAGCACACAGTCTGCCTTTCAGCATGCTTCTCCTGCGGCCCCTCTAGCCTGCAGGAGTTTGTGAAGGATGCTGGGAGCTACAGCAAGAAAGTGGTGGATGACCTCCTGGACCAGATCACAGGTGGAGACCACTCCAGGACGCTCTTCCAGCTGAAGCAGGTGGGCTGCACTCGCACTGGGGAGGGGCAGGTGCCCTTGGGGTGCTGCTGGTGGGAAGAGCTTGTGGTCTGACCAGGCTCTCAGGGATGAGGAGCTGTCGCAGGGACTCTGCTGCCGGCTCCTCGTCAGGATCTGCGCGCTGCTCTGCACGGGCGGGCGTCCGTCCTTCAGAGACCAGCTCCTTGTCAGCATCTGTGTGCTGCTCTGCACGGGCGGGCGTGCCCCAGACACCGTGACTGTGTGCTCACCACTCCCAGTGCACTTCGTAACTCTCTATTCCCATCTTCATCTCTCATCTCTGTCACTTCCCTTCATCTTGAAGAATTTAAAAGAATACTTCATGTAGTTCAGGCTTACTGACAGTGAACCCTCAGCATTGGCTTGTCTGAGAGTCTTTATTTCACCTTCATTTTCCCTGGGTGTGGAATTTTAGATGATCTTTTTTCCCGTCTACTGTAAAATACATTTGATTTGCATCTTTGCTATAAAAAAGCATCTGAAGTCATTCTCATCTTTGTTTTCCACATGTGATGTGTCTTTTTGGCAAACTGCAGCTCATAGGCCAGATCTGACCTGCAGTCTGCTTTTGTACAGGCCACAAACCAAGAATGTCTTTTGCATCTTTAAAAGGCTGTTTAAAGAAAAGAAAAGGAAGAAGATGCTGCAGGCAGCGTGCGCCTCACAGAGCCTCGGCTACTCCCTCCTGGGCCCTAGGCAGGACGGGGTGCTGGCCGGTGCTCTAGGAGCTTTTAAACCTTTATCTTTCTTTATCAGTGGTTTTCAGCATTGTATTTTCCAGGTGCTTTGTGTTCTACTTAGCATTTGTTGTTTCTTGGATCTGTCTGTAGTTCTCATCATATTTGGAGGATTTTTAGCCATTACTCAAATGTCATTTTCCACCGCTACCTCTTCCTCCTCCTGCTGGACTGTGGCACGCTGAGGACAGCTCGTGTTACCTCACATGGCACAGACACTGCTGCTGCACCAGGCAGGTGCAGAGTAGTTGCTGATGCTGTGGGCTAAGTTCACTAACGTGTTCTCTGGCCACACCTGAACCTGTTATCCGAGTTCAGTTTTCAGTGGTGATGCTGCCCCTCGCTGCTCACCGCTGGGGCTCTGTTTGCTGCTTTTGTGTATCTTCTCTTCTCTCGTGTTATGTGTATGTTTTCCCTTACATCCTTGAGCAATGTTCATCATATTAATTGCAGATGCTTTTGAAGTCCTCAGTCACTGACTCTGTCACCTCTGCCGTTTCTGGTTCTGTTTCTCTTTGCCACTTTGCTGCACTTGGAGCTGTGGGCCTTTGTGCACGTGCCTGGTGGACAGTCCAGACCCTCGCTGTCTGATAAAAAAGCACTGTTCCCATGGCCGATGGGAAATTGGAATGTGGCCAGTCTGAATTTAGATGTGATGTGTGAGCTACAAACGAGATCTTAAAAAACTAATACGAAAAGAAACGTAAAAATATGAGTAACGATTTCTTATGGCCTACATGTTGGAATAAACACGTTTTCAATAAATTTGTCTAAGTAAAATGCATTAGTTAATTGAATGTTAAGAGTCATTTTAATGTGGCAGCTAGAATTTTAAGAGCTGGGTACCGTGGCGTGCACCTGTGATCAGTTCCTCAGGGGGCTGAGGTGGGAGGATCACTTGAGGCCGGGAGGTGGAGGCACCTCTGCACTCCAGGCAATAGAGCAAGACCCTGTCTCAAAAACAAAAGGTAAGGAAAGCGTTGAGAATGAGGGGTGTGCTCGCGTTATGTCTGCTGGGCAAGGCTGATCTGGGTTCTTGCCCTCTTCCAGAGAATATTGAGGATCGTTTGGGCAGTTGTTACTTGTGGATGTCCTGATCATGCCGGGCTTGTCTGGGGTGGGTCCAGGGCAGCCTTATTCTAGGGTTCGTGTGGCCTTAATACTCAGGAGTGGCCCTTTGGAGAGCTCTTGGGCCCTGACTTTTCCGCGTAGCCTCTGCTGTGGGTGGAGTTCGGATGAGTCTCTGTCCCGCGCAGGCTCTGAGAACGTTTGGCTCGTGGCTCCCGAGGAGTGGTCAGTCCCTTGACCGCACGGTTTCATCTGTGCTTGTTACAGGTGAACTGGGGTCCACGTGCCTGGTGCAGGAATCCCAGGCACCCACGCCAAGGTTTTGTTGTGGTAGAAAGGAGACGTGTATTTGCAGGGCACCAAGCAAGGAGGGCCAGGAAGCTCGTGGGTAAATCCGCTGCTGCAGGACTCGAGCTGGTCTCAGACACCTGGCCATGTTCCAGGTGGAACCCACCAGGCCCTTTTTACCCTAAGCTGCCCACAGGATCTAGGCACATCTTTTTTCTTTTGTTTGAAGCCACCCGAGGCTGCTGAAACAGCGTCGGCGTCCTCTCTCTCTGTCCTCTCCATCTCACCCCGTGAGGTGCTCTCCCTGGCACACGGTCCTGGCACTGAGGAGTGGGCTGGCCGTGGTTGGGTCAGTGGCTGGTGATGAAGAAGCCTTGCAGGACCCCCAGCCTGAATCCATGACGATGGCGTGACTGGGGAGCAGAATTGGCAGAAGTGCACCAGCCGTTTTTACGTGTGTGTAATGTCAGTGAATTGTCCGTTTCTGTACAGTCGCTCTGGAAAAACTAGTTTCTCTCCTCATTTACTTTGCAGAGAAGAAACGTTCCCATGAAACCTCCAGATGAAGCCAAGGTGAGTTTTTGAACATGGAAGGGCAAGCCTAACGTTAGGATTCTTGTAGGGAAAGTTGTGTCCAGCCTTGGAGGTGGGAAGGACTGTGTGTACGATGGCCTTTAGAAACGGAGTCCGTTTCTGATCAGTGAGATCAGGTGTTTCTCCTGCTCTTTTCATGACTTGAGGTGAGTGGTGTGAAGCACAGTATGTTCTCCCAAATTCAGAAATGGTGGTTTCAGAGCGGTTGGCCCCGCTGGGTGCTGTCCTCATGGGACACCCTTGCAAGGGGTGGGCAGGATGGGCCTGCTCGGGACCTGCTTGGTGAGTAGCAGGTGTTGTCCCAAGCACAGTGGGCTCTGGGGCCAGTGTTAGCAGGGCAGTGCTGTGAGCCCGATTGGCAGGCGTATGTCTCTGGGAGTCAGCAGGCATGGGCTTTGGTCTGAGGTCCCTGGAAACCTGGAGAGACCCCTTCCCATCTGTCCGAGGGCAGAGGCCGGGCTGCCGGGAGCTGATGAGAGAGTGTGTGTTAGCGTGGCTGTAGTCTAGCCCCGAGGACACGCCTTGCTGGGAAAGGAAAGGGAACGTGGTGTGCTCTGTGAAGCGCCTGAAAAATAGTGCCTTAAATTCCGTGTGTCTTCCTGTTGCATAATGTCCCTTCCCAATTTCTTGAGCCCCAAAAAGTTAGTAAAGGATTATTAGTTCACATTGTTGGTCTGAGTAGGTTTTCCTTTGATGTGGATTTGCGTCATGAGCTCAATCCTGACAGTCCCTTGAACAGCAGCTGCAGTGAACATGGTTGTTCTTGTCACTTACTGAGGGGTGGATTCACGTTTAGCAAATAGAGTGATTTCAGTAGCGACTATTAACTAACATTTCGTTTTTCGTTTGATGTTTCATTTGCACCTGATGCGTGTCTGTCCCCACAGGTTGGGGACGCCCTAGGAGACAGCAGTGGCTCTGTTCTGGATTTCATGTCGATGAAGTCGTATCCCGACGTCTCTGTGGATATCTCCGTGCTCAGCTCTCTGGGTGAGTTGTAGCAGGGCCTTTCCCACGGGACCTGGTGAAAGTGTGAGAGGAAGAAAACACTTGGCCTCCACCTCTTCTCCCTTCCTGACTAGACAGGATGCAAGGAAAATGTTTTGTTACAGTATTTGGTGTTTGTCCCAGGTTTTTGGCCCATAGCTCCTAAAACCTGTGGAATCTCCTGAGTGTTAAGTGTCTTTTTTAAGCTAATGAGTAGTGTTGCAGCCCCTGGGTAACCTCAGGATGGGGTCTGGCCGATCCCCAGTGGCTGTGGATTTCATCAGTGTTGCCTACCACCGCCATGAAATCCCAAAAGCTGGGGTTCCCTTGGGAGCCTCCTCAGTGCTGGATGCCTGGAGGCCCTGGGAAGAAGGCAGCCCCTTCCCACGGGTACCCCTTTGCATTGCTCCTCAGTGCTGGACGCCTGGAGGCCCTGGGAAGAAGGCAGCCCCTTCCCACGGGTCCCCCTTTGCATTGCTTCCACCTGGGGCTGATCCGTATCCTGGGTGCCACCCCGCATAATAAGCCGGGTGTTTCAACAGAAGAGTCGAATTCTGCAGAGTATTTAGAGAGATTATTTCTGAGTGAAATATGAAGACCGTGGCTGTGACATGGTCCCAGGAAGTCTCAAGAGCATTTGCCCAGGAGGGCTGGGCTGCAGCTTGTTTTGGTGTGTTTTAGGGAGACAGAGGACATCGGTCAGTACATGTCAGGTGTTACATTGGTTCGTTTTGGAAAGGCGGGACAACTTGAAGTGAGGAACTTCGGGTCATCGGTGGATTCAGAGATTTCCTCATTGGCGTTTGGCTGAAAGGGTTAAGCTCTGAAGAGCTGAAGTCAGAAAGAAATGTGCGTGCTTAAGATAAGGGTTTGTAGAAGCCAAGGTTCTTGTCACACAGATGAAGCCTTCAGGTAGCAGGCTTCAAAAAGAATAGAGTAGATGGCAAGTGTCGCTTATCAGGCCCTGAAAGGTACCAGATTCTTAGTTAAATCTCTCCTGGGTCAGGAAGAGACTTGGAAGGGGAAGGAGATTCTCTACAGAATGTAGATTTTCCCCATAAGAGACAGCTTTGCAGGGCCATTTCAAACTATGTCAAAGACATGTATTTTGAGTTACAATACTCAGTTTCTTTCAGGGCCTGCCATCTATCACGTGATGCTGTACTGGAGTTGGATCGGAATGTGGTGTCTTATTACCACAGAGTCTGCTTTGTCAGCCTTAAGATTTCTGGTTTCATGTTAATGCTGGTCAGCTGTGCCTGAATTCCAAAAGGGGGATAATGAGGCAGGTCCAATCCCGCTTCACATCATGGCTGAACCCATGTTCCAGGTTGACTTTGGAGTGCCCGTAGCCTAGAGTGGGAGTCCGTTCAGTCCGTGGGGCTTAGCATTTTATTTTTCGTTTACAGATGTTTCCCTGACTTCTGTGAGTCACTCTAGCAAATTCGTAGAACTCAAGTAAGGACTTGTGGCAACGCCATTTGGTAGCTGGTTAGTCGGAAGCACAGACCACAGCCTGGGGCTTTCGGTTGGCATCAGCCGGTGGGGCAGTCCTGGAGACTGAGCCCTCACCTGGGAGGCTGCCTGTGCAGCGCCTCCCAGCTGTTCTGACCTCCAGCGGCATTTGTGGAGCCTGGATCCATGGGTCCCACTGGTTCCCATGGTGACATTCCACCTGTCTCCACTGGCTCTGTTCAGGCACTTATGGCCATGATTTATTATAGGGGATGGGCGCCAACAGCAGCAGAGGGACAAGAGCGTGGGTGACGTCTGAGGGAATCCAGCGTGAGGCCCAGATCCGCTCCCAGCAGAGGCACATGGGACGTGCTTAATTCCCAGGAGTGAGCTGTGAGAACACGTGTGAAATGCCCACCAGGGAAGCTCATCAGAGGCTTGGTGCCCAGGGTCACTGGGGTCTGGTCACAGGGCACCCCCTTGCCAGGCAGGTACCAAAATCCAGACCCCAGAGGGAAGGTGAGCTTTAGCATAAACCGCTCTGTTCCTGTCGTTGGAGCTGTGAACAATCCCTAGCACGGTGGGGGGACCCCAGACACCAGCCGTGACTGGCCTCGCCTTCCAGGGGACCCTGGCACCGGGCTGCTGTGACAGCACTTTTCTGCACAGCAGCTATTTTTCTCAACGCTTCTGAGATTTTGACCTTATTACTACTTTTCAGCAGCTCGGTGCTGAAGTGCTGTGGTGTGTTAGTCTGTCCTCACACTGTTGTAAAGAACCACCTGAGACTGGTCATTGGTGAAGAAAAGAGGTTTAAGTTCCTCAGGCTGGCTGGGAGGCCTGGCTGGGAGGCATCAGGAAACTTACAGTCATGGCGGAAGATGGAGGAGAAGCATGCGTGTCTTCACATGGCAGAGCAGGAGAGAGCGCAAAAGGGGAAGTGCTTTAAACAACCAGATCTCATGAGAAGTCACTCCACTATCGTGAGAACGGAGAACAGCAAGGGGGAAATCCATCACCATGATCCTTCCACCAGGACCCTCCCCTAACATTGGGAATTACAATTCAACGTGAGATGTGGGCGGGAGTACAGAGCCAAACTAGATCACTCTGCCCCTGACTCTTCTCAAATCTCTTGTCTTTCTGACATTGCAAAACACAGTCATGCCCTCCCAACAGTGCCCCAAAGTCTTAACTCATTCCAGCATTAACTCAGAAGTCCAGAGTCTAAAGTCTTATCTGACACAAGGCAAGTTCCTTCTGCCTGTGAGCCTGTAAAATCAAAACCAAGTTAGTTAATTCCAAGATACAAATCGGGTACAGGCATTGGGTAAATAGACCCATCCCAAGAGGGAGAAATCAGCCAAAACAAAGGGGCTGCAGGCTGCAAATCTGAAACCCAGCAGGGCAATCATTATATCTTGAGGCCCCCAGATAATCTTTGATTCCTTGTCTCACATTCAGGCCACACTGATGCGAGGGATGGGCTCCCATGGCCTTGGGCAGCCCCGTCCTTGTGGCTCTGCAGGGTACAGCCCCTGTGGCTGCTTTCCCGGGCTGGTGTTGAGTGCTTGCAGCTTTTCCAGATGACATGGTGCAAGCTGTCAGATGTACCATTCTGGAGTCTGGGGGACAGTCGCCCTTTTCTCACAGCTGCACTGGGCAGTCCCCCGGTGGGGACTGTGTCTGCCGTGAGCTCGTCCACTCAGCTTCCAGAACAATTGTTGTCCTGAGCAGAGAGGTCAGATCTGGATGGGCAGTGCACTCCTGCCCTTAGGGTGGATGGGCCGGCTGAGCTTAGCTGACGTCGGGTCTTGTCCTATTTATACAGGGAAGGTGAAGAAGGAGCTGGACCCCGACGACAGCCATTTGAACTTGGATGAGACAGCCAAGCTCCTGCAGGACCTGCACGAAGCACAGGCAGAGCGCGGCGGCTCTCGGCCGTCGTCCAACCTCAGCTCCCTGTCCAACGCCTCCGAGAGGGACCAGCACCACCTGGGTGAGACGCCCCCACCCACGCCGCATCCCCAGAGACCCCAGCACGGTCAATGTGACGTCTAGACTAGGTAGTGGGCAGCATTTTCGTTGTGGAAAGGCTGGAGGCTGCAGAGGCAGCTGTGTTGTTGTGGAGGTCGGTTTCCACAGACTCCTCAGGTCCCAGCCTCAGGGTGCAGAGCCGGAGCAGGAGCTGGGATGCTGGCCTGGCTGCACGCTGGATTACAGGCTTTCTGCCAGATTCCGTCCCCAGTTGTGTCCACCCCTGTGCCCTCTGTGGACCCTGGTTCCAGTGTTTCTGCTGGAGAGAGAGCATGGCTTCCTTGGCCGTGTGTCCTGTAGGGGTTTTGGTGGTGGTGGGTGGGGGTTTGTTCTCACGTGTAAACACTGAATCACTCCGTCGACAGAGTTAATCTTGACAGTTTTTCAGCTGCAGAGGTTTAGCTACAACCATCTGGAAAAGGACCAGTATTTCGATCCCATTAACCTTACGATCAGGGTGTTAACTAAACAGTGCATGGAGCGAGCTCTGGAGGGCTGTGGGTCAAAGTCTGAGGCCCCTGATATCCCAGTGTGACTTTGAGGAACTGCCCTGGGGTCTGGGCTGGGTCTGAGGGACTCCTGGCCGAGGAGCTTTCTCTCCTTCAGGAGCGGCATCCGTGTTGTGTGCCGGGGTCAGGGCTGACCCCTCGCTCCAGGGTCTCCACACACAGCCCTCCCTGGCAGGGAGTTAGAGGTGCCCCTGTGTCCTGGGAGTCCCTGAGCCCTGGCGGTGGGTCATGAAGCAGACATTGGGCTCCAGGAGCCCCACGTGTGCTGCGGGTCTGTCCTGTATGTTAAGTCCTGTGTTCTGAAAATTGCAGGAAGCCCTTCTCGCCTGAGTGTCGGGGAGCAGCCAGATGTCACCCACGACCCCTATGAGTTTCTTCAGTCTCCAGAGCCTGCGGCCTCCACCAAGACCTAACTCTAGACCACCTGCAGCTCTTTTGTTTCATTTTTTTAGTTTTATTTTGCATGTGTAGAGTTTTTGTCATCGGACAAGGACTTTGATCTTCCCCCTCTGGCATGCGGGAAGCAACCCTGGGGAGGTAACGAATTGTCTGTGGTATCATGTCAGCGAGAGAGTCTCTGTGCCCAGCCCCGTGAACCCGGGGGAGTGGAGTCATACGCAGAGGCCGTGTGGCCATCGTGTCAGCGAGAGAGTGTGCACAGCCCCGTGAACCCAGGGGAGTGGAGTCATGCATGAAGGGCGTATGGCCGGGCCGCGGAACCGTGTGCAATCTGTGTCCAAATATCACGTGTGGCTCCAGCCCTTGTTTCTGCCAGTGTAGACACCTCTGTCTGCCCCCCTGTCCTGGGGTCGCTCTTGGGAGGCACAGGCGTGGGTGTGTCTGGCCTCCTTCTCTTATCAGTCCTGCGTGTTCCTCTCATTGTTTGTGTTTCCCAGGCAGGCCGTGGTAGGGGCCTCGCAGGGGCCAGTGGGGAGCGCAGGGCCAGGCTGGGGTGAGGAGAGCCCCCCCCGTTTTCTGTTCATTTGATGAGCCTGAGAAAGGAGTGCTTCTGCCTGCCCGTTACAGTGGAGCGTTCCGTGTCCATAAAACGTTTTCTAACTGGATGTGTTTACTGGGTGCCCGTTCATATTAGTCTTTGCAAAATGCCATAAACACAGCTCCCAATCACAGGACACAGAGCGCCAAAGCGCACCCGACTGCTCCCCACACGCAAGGGTGCTGTGGCCTGTCAGCCGGTGGTGGTCCTCTGGCCCGGCTGTCGTATCCACAGTGATGTTGGGTGTGCCTGTGCGCCCAGCGCACCTCCTGCAGGGTGCCCTGCTCTGTGACCATGGAAGCTTGAAAGTGAAGAAGCCACACCTTCCAGAGGCCAGGCACAGATGGAAGCTCAGTCGTCCTGCAGGCAGAGGCGTTTGTGACTCTGAAGAGGCCCCGGGGGCAGTATGCAGTGCCTGGGCCCTCACACCACGGGACCCCAGGGCTGACCCTCGCAGGCCATTGACGCCGGGTGAGCAGGGTGGCCGGTGCTCTGTGTGGCGTGGGTGAGCATTCTCAGGTCGCTTCTGGGCCCTGGTGGAAGTAGGAGCAAAACCATTTCCTCTGGACAGAGCATGAGGAAGCCACAGCCTCTGATTCACAGGAAGAGTCCGTGAACAGGGCTCAGACGAGCGTCAGAGCCTGGGCTGCACCCTCCGTGCTGGCTGGGAAGCAGACTCCACAGGTGTCCGCAGAGCTGCACCTGCCGTCCTGGCGCTGGATACCGCCACGTGCGCCCGTTCCAGTGGCTGCCTGCAGGCTCTGCTCCCCACCCCCGACTCTGGGAGGCCACCCTGGCTGCAGGGAGGCTGGGAAAGGCAGCATCTGGAGTCCCAAGCTCAGTGGGGCTGTGTACTGCACCCCGCTTCCACTGGGGCTCCAGAGGCCAGGATTCCCTTGACAGACACTCCCCACAGCCAGGTCCTCAGGGTACGGCCTTGGAGAGCTTGGGCTCTCGGGAACAGCGTGGCTCCTGAGAGCAGGTTGCTGTGGAGTCGGGCTTCCTCCCACCATCCGAGCTCTGAACACCTCCCTCCGTATCCACTGTGAGTGGAGGAGCCCTCGCCACATGCTGGGGCCCGTCTTCAACTTTCCAGCCCCAGGACCATGAGCCAAATAAGCCTCGTGTTTTTCAGGTGAGCCAGTCTCAGGCGTTGTGTTAGAGCAGCACAAAGTAGCCTTTATCGAGATGACACAGCTGTGCCCTCGTGGTGGGGAGGCGTCGGCGTCTGTCCCTCCGAGCTCTTAGCCCTCTCTGAAGCAGTTCCTGGGTGGAGGTCAGGTGCAGCCCACAGGCAGTGCTGAGCTGCGGGAGGCGGCCACCCTGCCCCGCTTCCTGGTGGCCCTTGTTCCTGCACCCCTCACTCCCTGAGCCCTTGAAACTGGCTGTCCCTGTGGGCGGCGTTGTTGGTCCATGGGGTCCCAGCAGAGGGGGGCACTGGGCAGCAGCTGCCATGTGGCTTCAGTCTTAGTGTGCAGTGAGGGGACGTCTTGAAGAGGCCTACGGGTGGCCTACAGGCTGAGAGGCTGCCTTCAGGTCAGGAGATGGCAGTGGGGTGGAGGGGCCAGGGCTCTTCCCACTGCCCCTTGGGCTGCAGAGATACGGGGCCACCCAGGCCAGCTGAACCTGCAGGACTTAGAGGGCCCTGGTGGTGGCCGGAACTGTCCAGGGAAGTCGTGCGTGGCCTCCCAGGATTCCGGCAGCCTCTGCTCTTGCTGGCAGCCTGTGGGACTCTACCCTCTTTTGTGGGTACATCACCTTTGGGTGTGCCCAAGCCTGCATGCCAGGGCACAGAGCAGCCATGGTGAAGGGAGTAGGGGCTGGGGCCTTCACTGAGCTCAGCATCTCTCTGGTCCCTGGGCCCTTCCCTTGTGGTCACACAGTGACTGCTGCTGTGCCAGCCATCTCACGTTGAGGCCGGAGGAGGGCCAGAGGGGAACAGGCTGCCACATCTGTGTCTGATAGGACACAAGAGCTCTCCAGGGAGGCCCCACAGACATGGCTGTGTGTCAGCCTGAGGAGCAGCTCGGGGTGCAGCTCCAGCTCTCCCAGTGCAGGCGGGGATAGCCACTGCCCCCCGCCCCCGACATCCTGCTCCCCAGCTGATGTGGGCAGAACCTGGGCAGGGGAGGGGGAGGCGGCTGGGAACAGAGGCCGGCAGTGACAGGGGCCACTTGTAGACTGTGGGGCGTGAGGGCCAGCAGCTGTTCATCCCCAGCCAGGGCCCTGCAAGTCCGTGCTTGTCTGAGCCAGGAAGCAGGAGGGTGGTGGGACCTGCTGTGTGTGAGGTGGCATCCTCTGGGCTTGGCTTGCCACACTTCCAACCTCTGTCCAGCCCCTCCCACCCTTTGGCTGCTCTAGGGCCTGCAGAATCCATGATCTGCTCACCCCGTGGTGCCCTCAGGGCTTTGTTGCGGATGGGGATACTGAGGCAGATGCCCCGGCAGCCAGAACTACCCTAGGTCCTCTGACTGTGGCTGAGCCTTCCCCACCAGCTGTTAATCTTGGGCGCTTGTCAACTTTTAGTTGCCTGACCCCTCCCCGAGCGCAGTCTCCTCTTCTGAATCAGGAGGCAGAGGGGGGCAAAGGGGTCTCCTCCAAGGTCTCAGTCTGTGGGCAGGGAGTGCACTTGTGCATGGGCTGCAGGTATGGGGGGGTGTGGGTGCCTACGGGGTGCAGGTGTGTATGGGGTGCAGCTATGGGGTGTGTGCAGGTCCATATGGGGTGCAGGTGTGGGGTGTGTGGGTGTCTATGAGGTACAGGTATGGGGTGTGTGGGTGCATATGGGGTGCAGGTGTGGGGTGTGTGGGTGTGTATGAGGTGGTGTGTGGGTGTGTATGAGGTACGGGTATAGGGGGTGTGGGTGTGTATGGGGTACGGGTGTGGGGTGTGTGGGTGCGTACGGGGTGTAGGTCTGAGGGTATGTTGGTGCGTACGGGGTGCAGGTGTGGGGTGTGTGGGTGTGTATGAGGTACAGGTATGGGGTGTGTGGGTGTGTATGGGGTGCGGGTGTGGGGTGTGTGGGTGTGCGAGTGTGTGGTGTGTGTGCTATGGGGGGTTGGGGGGTGTGGGTGTGCTGTGGGTTTCGTTTCCACTAAAATTTAGACGTGGTAACCCAGTGGCCAGTGTGATGGTGTTAGGAGTGGTTAGGCCATGGAGGGGATGAAGGGCCTTGCAGACCAGGCCTCAGTCAGCAGAGACCTCTCGCCCTCCCAGCGCCTCCACGGGAGGACGCCGTGTCTGTCCCCTCCCAGCGCCTCCACGTGAGGACACCGTGTCTGTCTCCTCCGAGCGCCTCCACGTGAGGACACCGTGTCTGTCCCCTCCCAGCGCCTCCACGTGAGGACGCCGTGTCTGTCCCCTCCCAGCGCCTCCACGTGAGGACGCCGTGTCTGTCCCCTCCCAGCGCCTCCACGTGAGGACGCCGTGTCTGTCCCCTCCACAGGATGCAGCAGAAAGGTACCACCTTGGAAGTTGAGTGCCCCCCTCACCAGTCACCAGACCTGCTGGCTCCTGAATCTTGAACTTCCAGCGTCCAGAACAGGGAGAAATAAGTTTCTGTTCTTTAAAATTACTGCGTCTCAGGTATTTTGTTACAGCAGCACATGGGGACTAAGTGGGTGTGCAGGTGGTGGGGGGAGGGTGTGCAGGTGTGTTTGAGGGTGTTTGCCTCAATCTTTAGGCGGCATTGGGGTCACAGCACCTGCAGGTGTCAGGGGACATTAACTGTAGACCTTGGTGAATAAAAGCTAGTTGTCCTGAGTTGGGCAAGAAAGCCTCTGAAGAGGCCCTCGCCGCCAGTCCAGGCTACGAGACGGGGCGTTTGTCCTGGGGGACCTGCTCTCACCCTTAGTGGTCCAGCAACACCGTCTCGGCCTCTCCGGCCATAGCAGGCTGCCCTGCAGAGGCCCCGAGGGCTGGAGAACTGTCAGGTAGGCTTTCCTGCCCCTTCCCCGTGTCGTCCTGGGCACCTGCCCCAGCGCAGCTGTTCCTCATACTTGCGTAACTCGTGTGTGCCCCTGACAGACAGGATGTCCATGGGCAGCAGACCTCTGGCCACTGCAGGTTCCGGGCACCAGAGTGAGACCCAGCAGGCTTCAGCCGGCAAGAGGGCCCCTGACTGTGGGCGACTTCCTCACAGTGGGGGTCCTGGAGGGGCCCCTGCTAACAGAAAGGGGTGCATCCCTGTCCACCTTCCCATCCTCACCCCCAAAGGCAGCGTCAGCAGCTGACCCACATCGGAGGCATTCAGATGGGTGTCAGTGGAGACCCCCAGCTGACAGGAACTGGAAATGCCTTGTGTGCTGAGAGAGGAGGGCTGCAGGGACGGGAGGGAGGATGCCCTTCAACACACTTGCTGGCCCTTCTCAGGAGAAACCTTTCCTTGGCGTGGGTCATGGTGAAACTGTGCCGAGTTAAGCCAGTGACCGAATTCCTGAGCTCACAGGACGGCCAATGAAACAACTTGCTAAAATGCTGAAATTCCCCCGACTTGTGAGACTGAGAAGAAACGCGCCGAATTCAGTCAGAGCCACGGTGGCTGACGTCTTTGCTCAGAACCAGCTGCGGAGGTCCCTCCCTGGGCTCCTCCTAGGCTGAGTACTCTGGGGTCACAGTCTTCCTGGCTCCTCCTAGGCTGAGTACTCTGGGGTCGCAGTCTTCCTGGCTCCTCCTAGGCTGAGTACTCTGGGGTCGCAGTCTTCCTGGCTCCTCCTAGGCTGAGTACTCTGGGGTCGCAGTCTTCCTGGACGTTGCTTGTTGGTTGTTGGGTTTTAGGTGGTTTTTTTTTTTTTTTTTTAGGGTTGTCTTGCTGCATTTTGTTGCAGACCACAGTGCATTGCAATCCTAGTCAGCTCAGGGGCTTTTGGGTATTTGACTTTGGAGCTGAGTAGCTGGGCAGACTGATAACAGACAAAGCGAGCTCTTTTGCAGGTTGATAAACTTTCATTTTAGACTAAACTTCTTTGGTTCAGGCGAGGGCAGCTAAGCAGGTAGGAAGGCGGGGAAGGGAAGGCCGACAAGCAGGCATCCGCAATCCAAGCAGGGGCCTAGTACATCCTGTTTTTCTGTAGTTTGCGGACCTAAACCGGTTCAAGGCACCTTGTCTTGGAAATAGACCACTGCATGCATTATTTCACCAACGCCCAAGTCCATTTCACGCTTTCCCCCCTCCTCATGCCACTTTGTCCCCTCAACCTCCCAACTGCCATGGCTTTATGAGGTGCCCTGGGTTCCGTGGCTACCGTGTCGACCAGGGCGGCCCACCCACCTCTCACTTTGGTCTGGAGTGAGCGAGAGCGACGCTGCTTTTCTCTTGCTCTTCAGCCTGGACCTGTGATGTGATTGGCGTGAGAAGGAACTGTGGATTCTGGCGGTAAGGAAAGTGGGGGCTTACTTTCCCGTGTTCCCAAAAGGCAGATGAAATCCCTGCACCCTGAAGGAGTCAAGCAGTAAAGGCGACACAGCAAGACTGTCGGGGACTCGGGCAATGAGGATTTGTCTCCTGAGGGGCCTCAGAAAAGGCCGTCTCCGCTGTGTGAAGTACAGGAATGGAAGGTTTCACCAGGGTGGAGTGGCTTCCAGAGGGTCCCCGTGGAAAAAGCGTGGCTGAGCAGGCCCAGAGGGGGACGAGGACACGTTTGGGGGCCGGAGGAGAGCGAGGACATGTCAGGGGGGCCAGACTGTCATAAGGGCAGGGACAGGGTGAGGGCCGACTCAGGGACCACAGTGTCATAAAGACAGGGACAGGGATGAAGAGGACAGACTTGGGGGACCATGGTGTCATAAAGCTGGGACGGGGACCAGGACAGACTTGGGGGACCTCGGTGTCATAAAGACAGGGATGGGACCGGTACAGACTCTCGGGGCCTGGTGTCATCAAGACAGGATGGGGACCAGGACAGACTTGGGGGACCATGGTGTCATAAACGTAGGGACAGGGCCAGGACAGGCTCTCGGGGCCTGGTGACATATACACAGATGGGAACAGGAAAGACTCAGGAGGCCATGGCATCTTAAAGACCTGATAGGGTGGGATGGGCACCTGTGGTCTCTGGGGTGCGTGTCAGGGGCCGGTTCTCGTGCAGAGAAGGATGGAGGCCCAGTCTGAGAAGGGGGCCGTGTCCACATGCACAGATGGGGGCAGACAGGAGGCGCCTGGGGTCCGCCACACAGGATTGCGCTGCCAGTCCCGGTGCACGGCAGCCAGTTCCCCGGGCTTCAGTCCAGTTGTCATAACACGGGGGGCCCATCCATCCTCAGTCGTGCTCACTTCCTGAACCCAACATCACAAGTCTTCAGTGTCACGACTCACAGATGCTCCTTTCGCTTGAATTGTGTGTGGGAGTGTGTGTGCATTGTGTGGTGTGTGTGGGAGTGTGAGCATTGTTGTGTATGGAGTATTTTGTGGGGGGTGTGGTATGTGTGCAGTAAGTGGTGTGTGTGGTGTGTATGTGGTGTATTCTGTGTTGTGTGTATTGTGTGGTCCCTGTGTAGTGTGTGGTTCGTGTGTGGTGTGTGCATGTGTGGTGTGTGGAGTGTGATGCATTTGTGGTTGGTGTTTGATACATGTCATGTGGTGCATGTGCAGTGTGTGGTGGGTTGTGTGGTGTGTGTGTTTTCCTTGTGTTACATATGCATGTGCAGTGTGGCAGGTGTGTGCGTGTGGTTTGGGTGGTGTGTGGTGCGTGTGTGGTGTGTGGAGTTTTGTGTGGTGTGTGTGCTCTGTTTTGTGTGGTGTGTGTTGTGTATTGTGTAGTCTCTGGTGTGTTTTGTGGTGTGTGTGGTGTATAATCTGTATGATGTGTGGTGTGTGCGTGGTCAGTTGTGTGGTTTGTGTTGTATGTCGTGTGTGTGATTTGTTGTATGATGTATGTGGTGTGTATTGCATGGTATGTGGTATGTAGTGTGTAGTGTGTTGTGTGGTGTGTGTGTCGTGTGTGTTGTGTGTGGTCTCTGTTGTGTGTTGTGTATGTATGGTGTGTATTGTGTTTTGTGTGGTTTGTGTTGTGTGATGTGTATCGTGTGGTCTATGTGGTATGTGGTATGTGGCGTGTGGTCTGTGTGGTATGTGGTGTGTGGCCTGTGGTGGGTGGTGTGGTGTGTGGTGTGGTTTGTGGTGTGAGTTGTGTGGCCTGTGGTGTGGGTTGTGTGGTGTGTGGCCTGTGGTATGTGGTGTGGTTGTGTGGTGTGGTGTGGGGTGTGTGGTGTGTGGTGTGGGTTGTGTGGTGTGGGTTGTGTGGTGTGGTATGTGGTGTGGGGTGTGTGGTGTGGGGTGTGTGGGGTGTGTGGTGTGGTATGTGGTGTGTGGTGTGGGTTATGTGGTGTGTGGTGTGGGTTATGTGGTGTGTTGTGTGTGGTGTGTGGTCTGTGGTATGTGGTGTGTGACCTGTGGTGTGTGGTGTAGGGTGTGTGGTGTGTGGTGTGTGGGTTGTGAATGTGCTCACAGGCCACGGTGGTATCGAGGCTGAGCGTGGGCCTGAGGGAAAGGAGCTGTCCTGGAGTCTTCCCTGGCTGTTGTGAGGTCCGTGCCCCCAGCTTGCTGTCCTCCATGGGGTCTGTCCCCCCGGCTCGCTGTCCTCCATGGGGTCTGTACCGCCGGCTCGCTGTCCTCCGTGGGGTCTGTCTCTCCCGACTGGCTGTCCCCCGTGGGGTCCGTGCCCCCGACTTGCTGTCCCCCATGGGGTATCTCTCCCCAACTTGCTGTCCTCCGTGGGGTCTGTGTCCCTGGCTCGCTGTCCTCTGTGGGGTCTGTGCCCCTGACTGGCTGTCCTCCGTGGGGTCTGTGCCCCCGGCTCATTGTCCTCCGTGGAGGCTGTCCCCGGCTCGCTGTCCTCCGTGGGGTCTGTGCCCCCAACTTGCTGTCCCCCGTGGGGTATCTCTCCCCGGCTCGTTGTCCCCCGTGGGGTATCTCTCCCCAACTTGCTGTCCTCCGTGGGGTCTGTGCCCCCGGCTCGCTGTCCTCCGTGGGGTATCTCTCCCCGGCTCGCTGTCCTCCGTGGAATCTGTGTCCTCCTCTCGCTGTCCTCCGTGAGGTCTGTCCCCGGCTCACTGTCCTTCGTGGGGTGTCTCTGCCCTACTCGCTGTCCTCCGTGGGATCTGTGTCCTCTCGCTGTCCTCCATGAGGTCTGTCCCTGGCTCACTGTCCTCCATGGGGTATCTTTCCCC